GTATGAACGCAGGCGCTGCGATGGGATTTCTCCACCAGAAAGCCAGGCGTAAGCAGCGATCATACCGTTGTAACCGACGATGTAAATGACCGAGAGACCGACAATAGCCTTGAATATGTCAGTAAGAGTCTCGCATACTCCACGAAAGAAACATAAACGTACCTTTCCAGTGCTAGTCGTGCCAGGGTTGACGTGATAGACAGCCGCGATGATAAGTTGCGTGACACCACAGATAGAAAGACCAGTCATGAGGAAAACGCGGCGGCGACCGATCTTCGAGATGACACTGCTGTTGATCATGACTACGACGACACCGACGGCGGTCAAGATGCAGGAGTTCATGAAGGGGCTACCGACATTCGCCATCTTTCTCAATGTTAGCCTGGCATACTTTCGACGACGGGAGCGATGCACTGACCTGGAAGAAGTACGTTCCGTATGCAATCACAAACATGGCACCCGACGCAGCCTGAGTCGATACCGCAGCGATAGCCAGCAGCGTGCGCCTACGATCAACAGGATCTTTCCAAATGTCCAGGAAGTTCGCGCTCGACTTCACAGCCTTCTCCGCATCGATGGCTGCTTGGATCTCTGCTACTTCGCCGGGCACGCTTTCGGGGTGCGGACGCATCCACAGGAGCGCCTTCTCGGCTTGCGCTGGCTTTTCGACTAGAATAAGCCAACGTGGCGATTCAGGAATGAAGAACAGGCCAGTCGACATGAGAACCGGGACGATGAAGATCATGCCAAGTGGGATGATATACGAGTTCCGACCATTCATGTCGTGTGTTGCGTTATCGATTACCGTGCCAATGAGCGTACCGACTGAAGTCCAGATCTGGAAAACGGATATCATGAGACCGCGGTATCGAGCCGGTGCTGATTCCTACTTGTATGTCAGTAATGTACCGACGAATGAAAGGTAACACGAACCTGGATGTAAAGCTGCGAAAAGGTCATATACCACCCATTTGCAATCCCAATTAAGAGTCGTCCAGAATACAATCCCGCAATGTTGGTCGTAGTCATCATGACAATGTTCGCAACGCAGCAAAGCGCACTGGCCATCCAGAGACATTGGCGCCTCCCCAGCTTCTTCGCGAAGACACCGGCGAACATTGAGCTGATAAAAGCCCCCAGTGTCATCAAAGACGAGATGAGTTGCTGACGCTCGGGGGAGATATTGTAACCTATAGGCGTCATGGGATCAGGATGGCCAAAGACTTCGAGAAAGCCGCGCATGGCTTGTAAACCGCCGATAGCACCAAAGTCGATGCCGTACTGGAATGGCGACATGGAAACGAGGGTACAAGCCGCGAGGCATTTCCAATTGGAAAGCAGACTGCTTGTTAGATCGGGCATTTTGGTGGATTCCCTCTCCAAAGATGGTGATGAAGAATTTCAAGAGATGCGGCGAGGTTTTGCTCGATGTTGCGAAGTAGGGTTAGCTTCAAGAAGCGATAAACTTTCAACTAGAGAGGCTGGCACCAGCGATCCTTCTGCCTCATAACAGGGCATCCCTTTCATCCAGACTGGCATGCAGATCTTTGTGAATGTGGTCCCACCTGCATTCTTGTCCCAATATTTGCCGATAGTGCCTGGAAATGCTTAGCTTGCCCCTACCCCGGAATCCACAGGCAGTCTAAAGTGTGGAGTGCGGAGGTGGCGTTGTACCATGTACGATATCTCAGGTATTAATGCTGGTACTTCCTGTTTCCGCGTGGCGTACGAGACCAATCATTACGATGCCCGGTAGCTATTCAAGAAAGGGTGACAAAACGCCCGGCAGTTTCTGCCGTTCTAGTGCTTGTCTTGCTACCCGCCATCTGTTTGGAATAGCACATGGCTAGGCTGTCGCTTCGAAACTTTATGAAGGTCGCCACAATAACCTACCTAGAAACATGCGACCTCAGAAAACCAACATCGAATTTACAACCAGGGAAACCCAGGGGGAGTTCACAGGCTGTACGGTAATACCATGCGCTCGGAGCAATAACGCCGTGTGACATTGGCCATGATCGTGAAGTACGGTAAAGATCTGCATGTACTAACTTTCACAGCTGTGCATAGCGAGTCAATAAACTTCATGCCCTCCACTTCGGAATCGGGAAGTGGAGAGAATCATGCCCGCCTAAAGGATCAAAGTATTCAAAGCAAGTGTTGCGATCCGCTGATGTGGACAGAAAATGAAGTTGATGGTTGAGAGGCGGGGAAAGTTGACTGCGAAGGTGGTGGGGCACTTTCCAGATAGAACCTTGCAACCCTACAGGTATGCCGCTTACGTAGTATCAAATCTGAAGCAGCAAACGGTGTCTAAGACAACGAATTTTCCAGGCTAGACTCAGGAGTCTCTCAGACTACCCTCCTTGACCATGTCCACAACGTTCATGAAGGTATCGTACATGTAGCTACGCCGCTTCTGCCCTTGCTCATTTTCGAAGACCAACTTCCATTTATCCTCCTTCTCAAAACTGTCCCAATTCACTTTTACCCAATCGTGGCAGGATGCATCAGAGTCACAGTGGTTGTTGTTGACATCTTCATGCAGTTCTGCATTGTCGTACTCCAAAACATCATCAGCAAGATACCTGCCTACTATCATAGTCCTCTCATGAAAGTAGAAGTTCTCGGTCTCGTAGTAGCTTACGGCCGAATTGGCGCAAGCCCTGAAGAAAGCGCGAAGGGTATTCGGGTAATGGAAGTTCGTGTTCTTGAGGACAATGCGACGGATCGTGGAGGAGTGTACGTTGATGATACTCGCGAGTGTAGGTGCAGTAGTGCTCGTAACGAGTCCGTTGATATGGAGCGAACGTAGGCGGAATGGAGGACTGCCGCCCAGTAGCTGGAGCAGAGGAGCCCAACTCTCATTGCGGATCTGATACTTACCGATACCCTGATCGCCAACAGACAAAGCCAATGCTTGGAGATTTGCATTGGTATTGATAAGCTTGACGAGGGCTAACATGTATGCATCAGTCTTCAAGGTGGCCATGTCGAGTTCCAGGTTCAATGACGTTAAGCCACCTAAGGCAGGTGAAATCGCCTCGAAGAGCGACTTTGGAGTCCCCAGTAGCCAAGTCTGCCACTTCAACCCGAACCCTACAACCCTGAACTCTTCAAGCTGCTGTGGCGCAAATCGTATGGTGTCCACTAGAGCATGCATGACCCTGTATATAGGAAGCGCATGCATGATATGGGTGTGTTTTGGTGGATAGGGTCTCGACAATTCGGGACGGAACCCCATAACACCCATTGCCAAAGGATTGGATGTTGAAATCACGGGGTAGCACAATTTGTCAGCCATCCCTTCCAGCGGGGGAGGTGCGCGAAGCGTGATACTCTTCAGATTCGGTAGACGCCGAAAGATAGCACTGAACAAGTTTCGCACGTCAGATTCGCTGAGCGTGGTTCCAATGCAAGGCGATTTCGTTGTGTCCAGGCTTGGACCGTATCCCAAGCTCTTCGGTGGCCGACATTCCAACTCAGAGTATATCTCGAGTGCGCGAATACGGCTGGCAAACCGTAAACGGGACAGGGCCTCGAGACGTTCGACGCTCGTGATAGTGGTTTGACATCTTCGACTGGAAAACTTTGCTTCGGTCTAAGTAGGGTGGTTAGCATCTCATTAACGAGCACCTTGGAGTGAAATAGAGTACAAGCTAGGGAAAGATCGAGCTTTGGACAGGGGGAGAAGGTACTTACAAGAGCATGATCGATGGCCTGCAATATAGTCCGACTGCCGAGCGTTTGTAGTATGCTCAGAGATTCTTTGTCGAGATTCTCAGCGATCATGCCGATGATCTCACTGGGTAGGTCTTCCAGACTTCGCCCAACCGGCGGTGATCTGTAGTCCGACATGAACACATCAATGTCTGTGTGATCCATGATAGCCCTGTCCTCGGGCGTAAAGCTGTCCTCGTCCATGTTGGATGATATGTGACTGGAGGTGCTCGGGGTGAAAATGAAATGTTGCAGATTTTATGTGTGGGTTCGAGACGAATGGCGGTACGAGTGATGCGAGCGGTAGCTACCATGGTCCTGGCTGGCGATAGGAAGGGCTATCTGTGGCACCACCCCATTCAACAAAGGAGCTGAACAGGCGCCCTGCAGCCTACGTTAGTATTGAAACAAGTGTTTGCAAGATCGTAATGCAACGTAGGCGTCCTGGGTTGTTTCCTTCTTTCTTTTTTGTAGACTGGTGTCCAATTTTCCCTATAAGTGGGTGGCATAGAGTGGTACTGCTTCCCTGGTCCACAAAGGAGACCCTTTCGGTCACTACGTCCGATTTTTGGCTGACCATATACAGTCGGGATTTCGAGGGCGTTGTGTTCGTCATGGCTTTCTACGCGGATATTCGCGCGCATCGTGTACGGCGCAGTCGAGTTGAAAGAGGAGAGCATAGGGTGCTAGGGGATCATGGCACTCCTAGTGCTCGAGTTGTGATACAAAGTGCAATAGTAGGTACTAGACAAGGTACATTACGATGAAGGGCATCGTGATTTTGGTGTCGACATGTTCAGAGACGTTGATGATGCCCAGGTGCATTCCGGCGCTACTGCGTAGCTAAGCATCGCGTCGCGTCGCGTCCGGGGTTCGGCACAACACCTGCCGCAAGCTCTTTGCCTGCCGCCTCACGTGCGCATCCGGCACAATGCCCACAGATGCTGGCCCATCCTTCCGTGCATCAGTGCGAGAGACTTGCATGTCTTCGTGGGTGAAATGCCCTCGAAGCTGCAAACTTTACCCGGCTGTCTATGCCCCACCCCCGCGATGTGGGGTTAAGCGTTGCGCGCATGCAACCCTCCGAGGATGGCTACTTTCAATGCTGCTGGCGGCGATGCCTGTTGATTAGCAAGCTCTGATTCATGTGTTTGTTCATTGGTCGCTTCATAACAGGCATGTCGTGCGAGCTGCAATGCACCCCTTGGTCTCAACTATTGCTTGGAGTAATCTTCTTCTGAGTAGCATTCCCAGTGCGCACGATCAACACAGCGGAAGGCATGGCGATAGAGCAAATCTTTGAGGCTCTACCTCTACACTATTTGCAGCATGGCATCTCCAAGTTTGGTGCTGGCAATATCGCCTTGGCAGTCTTCTTGACCGCATTTTTAGGTGTACTTGCAGATTATGCTTGGATGCTGTATATGAGATCGAAGATGGTAAGAGCAACACACAGGATCTGATGATGGTACTAACGTTGCATAGCCCCCAGGGCCCTTCCCATACCCCATCGTTGGCAACACGTTCCAGCTGCCTGACAACAAGCCCTGGATTTTCTTCGAGGAGCTATCCAAGAAATACAACACGCCGCTGATAACGTATTGGATCGGACGTAACCCAACCGTTTGGATCAACGATGCATGGACCGCAAATGAACTACTCGACAAAAGAGCTGGCATATACTGCTCGCGCCCGCGCATGCTTGTCTTTGCCGAACTCGGATCTGGCCAAAACAACCTCGTGAACCTGATCACTACTACGCAGGCGCAGCGGGAGCGGTTCCGGATGCTACGCAAGGTGACGCACCAGGGCGTTGGCATCCAGCAGGTGAAGAAGTACCGCGACTTCCAGAATGATGAGAGCAAAGTCGTCGCCCTCGATCTCCTGAGCACCGCCGAAAATTACGTCGCGCACTTTGAACGCTACGCGACCAGTGTGGTCTCTATCATCGGCTTTGGCAGACGCGTTGCGAGCCACGAAGATCCAATCATCACCGAGGTCATCGCGTTGATGCATCGAGCAGCTGATCTGAACGTACCGGGCAAGACATTCCCTATGCTGATGGAAACCTTTCCGATTCTTGCTCGCGTACCTACAGAATATGCGCCATGGAAGCACGGCATGGGATCGAAGAAGAAGTCATCCCGCGGCCATGACTTCTTTTATTCGCTCGCCAGAGAAGCAAACGAGAAGCCAGGACACGAAGACTGCTATTCAAAGATGTTGTTTCGCGAGCAGGAGAAATACGGTCTCAATCACAAGGAGATTTCGGCATTAACTGGTAACTTGTTCGGCGCGGGGTCCGACACATCAAGTAGTACGCTCATCACCGCTGTTCTCGCCATGCGAGCTTTCCCAGAAACTATGCAGGCCGCGTGGGAAGAATTAGATCGCGTTGTCGGAGAGGACCGTAGCCCTTCATTCGAAGACGATGCAAACCTGCCTTATATGCGAGCATTTGTAAAGGAAGTGTTCCGATGGCGATCAGTAGCCATCATTGGTGGACAACCGCACGCTCCAGTTCAGGACGATTACTACAACGGTTATCTGATCCCGCAATCAGCATGGGTACAGGGCAACGTCTGGGCGATACACCATAACGAGCGTGACTTTCCTGAACCCGACCGTTTCAACCCGAACCGCTTCTTGAAGGACCATCCTAATTCGCGACCTTTCCCCGGCGAAAGAGGGTACATGACATTTGGTTGGGGTCGTCGAGTGTGCTCAGGTCAGGCACTTGCCGAGCAGGGCACGTGGCTGACGGTGGCGCGATTGGTATGGGGCTTCAGGATCGAGCCAGCACTAGATGGGAATGGCAAGCCTATCCCGGTCGACATATTTGACTACACGTAAGTTTCCAGTGGAAGGAGACCAGCATGCGAGATACTGACATCTTCAAGCAACGGTTTAAATATGCGACCGCAGCCGTTCAAAGTGAGCCTAAAGCCACGGACCGAGAGGATACGTCAAGCTATCGTAAGAGAGGGCGAACAGGCATTGGCAGACCTCGCGCAATATGAAGGTGAAACAAAGTATCGCATGAGTACATTCCACAAGAAATAGAGCTTGCTATGAGGAGGCTGCGGTGGTGATGAGTTTGGCAGTAGTTAGTGAGCGGACATGTAGACTCGATTAGCCAAGGCGGATTTCGGTCCACCTCTTCTTGACAGGTGCTGTTTCGAACACGACCGATGTCATCCCAGTACCAATTCGTTCCCAATGCGAACCTCGGCACTGAACTACCAAGACATGACATTCTCGCTCATGTCCATATTCGAGATACCATGGCAATCGCAGTACGTATGACTCGAGAAGAAAGCTGGAGAAGTCTTTTCCCGTAGGTATAACATCCACATATGTTGGTGCCGACCCTGTGCGGGTACTTCCCAGGTCAGACTCAAGACAATAGGTGCGAGAGACATGCGAATGTGGCAGCGGGAGCGGCATGATTCGAGTAATGTAGGCGCTGATGTGGATATATCTGCTCGGTATCTGGGTGGAATCTACGCTGGAACTGTATATTTCTTGGTAGGTGCTCCAATCGATGATCTTCCCAGATTGGAGCTCTAGCTTAACCACGCATGGGGTTTTACTCGTAGTTCGATGTTGTCTCACCATGAACAACATCTTCAACCCTCTCGCCCATCTTACAGTACCGGCCCATCCGGCCCATGACCAGCTGGGAAAGTCAACTCGTCGTCTAGCTGGAAATTCCACGTCCCAGCTCAAGTTACTGACGAACTTTTGGTTCGATATAGTAAGTGGTGTACTATCCGATCGAAGAGCATCGCTGTCACAGAACGGCAGTCCCCAAAGGTGTTTAAGACGATCTGAGTGTTCCAACGATGCGAAGATTCCAAGCATTGCATTTAGTACGTCGCTTTCGTAGGTGAGCGAGCGCCTTGAGAACGCTTCAATGCGGTCGAGAACGATCATAGCGTGGTCATGAACGGTTGGGAAGAGGCCTGGGTCGGGTTCGTTAAAGGCGTCGAGCCAAGATCCAGTACTCTCCTCGCCACGGCGCCAGAACATATCTTCGCGAGCCATCCAGCCTTCCATTCGAAACCTTTCCTGGCATTCAAAGTACAGTTGCGTGTCAGTGAAGACAAGGCGCCTAGTCGGAAGCAAACCCTCTTGATATGTCCAACCTCTTGTACTCCATGTCGTGCTCTCTAAGGTGTCGCTACAGAAGATGGGAGTGGAATCGAGTGTTCGATGCCTAATGTGGACAGGTTGATTTACTTTGCGTCGCCGGCTAACACCTGGCAGTCCGTAATTACCATCAGATCCGGCCGCTGCGATGATTGTCAAGACAGATCCTGCGTAGATCTTATCCATCTGTTTGAGCTGTCGATGAAAGTCTTCCGAAGACTTCCCCAAACAATACATATCGACCCACAGGTAGTCATACCCAAGCATGAGCGTGACTTTGATGGCATCCTCGATAGTTTTAGGTAAATTGGACGATAAAACGTCAGGCTCCAATGGTTCAACGCCTGCTTGCTGATCATCCGGCTTGCCCCACACATAGCTCAATGTCACATACGATCCGCTTTGTGGTAGTTTTCCAACCAAGCGACTTCTGCAGTCGATAACTCTCAGATTGCGTACTTTGGTGTCGTGTTTCGATCCACTCAATATGCGAGGTATATGGCATTTATGCTTCTGTACGCATGAGGCGATCCACTCGCGGACTTCCGTGTAGTCATCAATCAAAGGCGTGATTGCTCGCAGATTCTGACTGATGGGTCCATCCGGATCGAAGATGATGGAACTGCGGATACCGAGAAGATCGAAGAGACTGTACTCCCCGCGCCGTTCAATACAAAGTATGGGTGCTTCGATCTTTTCGAGAAGAGGGGTTACTGCAACGTGAGATTGCACTGCATTAAGGCTGCACATCGCGCCTTCTGGCACCTGACCCATACTGCCGGATAGGAATCTGCAGAGACTACAAGTTTCTGACTTCAATCGAGTTATTTTCAAGACGGTTCGGACTGGTACCCCAGGGTTGAATCGAAGTGCATCGTCCAGATCGAAAGCTGCGCACTGCGAACAGTGGTTATTAGGCGGTTCGACCACCATCGGGCTTTGAGGAAGAACAGATAATGCCATGACCGGACAGATCTTCTGGAATTGCAGTCGTTACGCATGAGCTGATCTTGATTTGATTTAAATCTGGGTGTGGACTTGCGCAGAGGTGGAAGTAGAACAACTGCGCCCCATGCCTGCAGAACGCCCGCAACACTCGGTAGCCAGTAATACACCGTTAGCTCAGCAGCGCGACATGGGGAAACTTGGATTCGATCTTGACTGCAGCATCGCTGTTAACGTTGAGCATAACCCCAAAGTAAAGAAAAGCTTCTCCAAAAGCGCTCATAGAGTTTAGACGTCTCTTGTATCTCCGTCATGATGCGACCGCTTGAGGCAATGGTGAGGATGGTGGAGAGGCCGTTCCCGATGATATTGTCGCCTTGAACATCAGGAGCGTCATCCGTGATCAACGCCAGATCAGAATTTGCCTGTTACGGGCAGACCTGCTGATGTAAGCGCGCACGTACCACTGCCCTTTGCGAACACCGAAAGGTCTACCTTTTGCATCGCGGTACCGTTATAGTTTACCGTGACCTGCTAACATTCATCGCATTCATATCGAATGCATTGGGCCTAGAAGCAATTCCGCATCCGCGGTGTCGCGCACTGACGACATCAATTGGATAACGATGAAGCAACCCCGCGCTTCTATCGCTCAAATCTCGGCCAGGTCTTCACCCAAGATCAATGATGGCGAGTTGGATTTATCGAGAATGTTTCATTCATCATGCCAGTTTCCGTCATCAGGAACAGCAGGCAGCTCGAACCGTTGACCGATGGTAGTTCACACACCAAAGTTCGTCTACGAGATACTTTGAAACACGACCTCTGAAGCTCCATTGTTTGGGCGCATTTGCTCCTGGTTTCGGCACATATCTTTTGTGCGGCAAAGAAGTTATGTCTTTGTTGTAGTATGGGCCATTCGCTCCTCATCAAAACAGCGTTTTGCGCAATGGAAGACGAACTACTCACGGATGTCGCACCTCTAACAAAAACTATCATCTTTTGTGTCGATTCAGCTCTCGTGCTCAGCAAGCGAAATGGCCCCACCGTACGCGACTTCTTATAACTACTTCAGATATGATGCCAACGAATTCATCCATCAGAACAGGACTTGGACGACTCGTGAGTAGACTTGCCAAGTACAGACAAAGATCACTTGCTTATAGTAGCCACTAGCGGAACGTCTTTGGACAATCTCTACTATATGGGCCGGGAATGGGAACGTCAAAAATTACTATGCTACTCAAACCCAGAATGCGAGTGGAAATTGGAAGGCGACCAGTCCTGGATTGCCAAATCCGAACCCAATACCAGTGAATCCGTTCACGGCTGCAGATGTAAACCATGCAAAGACTACGCAAACTATGCCTGCACCTGCTCCTGCTGCCGGAGCGAATGTTCGGCCTGTCGCCGCTGCTCCTGTTTACGTCTCGTCTAACCTACATGACTTCTGGCCAAGGCTGCCATGGTCTGAACCAGACGAACCAGCTCCACCATTCCTTGATATGGAAGCGTTAAAGAGATTTGGTTTCTTGAAGAATAATTGGCTCGACACTGAGCCGCACATGCCTTCACCAAACGACGACTCTCGTTGGCATGGTATCAAGACATTAGGGTTTGGTAGCTACGGCGCAGCTGGCTTAGGGGTTGAAGCCGATGCGGCAAACAACATTCGTGACGTATGTACCTAGCCACAGACACGACCGGTTCCCTTTTGTAAGCGACAAGCTAACATCAACATCAGAGAATGGTGATCAAAGAAGCCAAAGCCTTCACACCAAGCCGATGGCGCGATCCCAAGAACTGGCGGGACCGATTGCCACAAGAAATACGTATCCATCAGCTTCTTGAAGAACGCCGTGCCGTGGACCCAGCCATGTGCCGCCATATTATCCGTTGCCGCGCACACCGACTATGGATGGAACATAGAAGATACAGATTGTATCTAGATTACCATTCGGGTGGCGACATGAACGCGGCAATGACATTTCATGCTAAGAACTGGGAGGACGGAAAACCCATCGACGAGGACATATTCGCACCAGAGGGTTTCGTCTGGTATACCATCAAAGCGCTCGCGACTGCTTGTCTGGTACTGCGCGAAGGGACCATCGATGGCACTACGGTTAATGGCTGGAGACCCATAACCCATTTGGATTTGCAGTTACCAAACGTACTTTTGGATGTTCACACTCCACCAACTCAGGAAGCTAAGGGAAAGTCAAAGGCGGGCTCCTCCAAGAGTGCTAGGCTCAACCGCGCCGACGCTGACAATTGGAGAGCTAAAGAACCTCCTGTGATGCCTATACTTGCAGACTTTGGTATTTCCTTTTTTAGCCCGAATCGTGACGACTGTCCAATTACCGACAATCCTGATGACTATATCATCCACGAAACTGATACGCGATATCCTCCTGTAAGTAGCTTTCTTTCTCCGAAACATCACTCGCTACGACAGCTAATCGCTCTTAGGAAATGCATCAGCAAGAGGAACCGTACTATCTCGAGTTAGGTGAAAGAACGGAAGTTTGGGGCATCGGTCGCATCGCATGGAGACTCTTGTGTAATAAACAAGTTGATGCATTTGGTCCGATTCGTTGCGACACGGTACCTTCGCGCGGCACAGAAAAAGATCAGCAACTTAAAATCCCATTAGCCCTTAGACGTAAGCGCAACATCCCTCCAAACAATGCCACGAGTGTACTCGCAGAGCAGAGCATCGCACAATGTACAGCTGGGAAGTACGGGCGAGAAGTCAAAGAGTTGGTGCGGAGGTGCTTGAACTTCGATCACAATTTCAGACCGACTCTGAAAGAAATCCTTGCTGAGGTAGATCAATACTTCTCGGAGGACGAAGTCTTGACAGAACAAATCAGGGATCAAGACGGGCTGCAACTCATTCTGCCAGATACTCCCGAGTTCGCCATTGGACAGCCAGTCGATGCAGCTAAAAGAAGGGGACGTGAATGAGACTTAGTCTGGCCGCTGCTGTAACACTAATGCAACCACCACTCAACATTGGCGGACGCTTCCTTGGAATCACCCTCCCCGATGTTCTCCGCTATCATTACGCCAGCAAAATCCAATCGGCCTTGGCGTGAGGCTTCCTGTGTCTGCACCACGGCCTAACGAAGCCACTACTAAGGAAATATTCATTGGGAATTATGATGACATTACATTTCCGCTCCAGTTATACCAGAGCCGGCTATCATTCCATCATCTTGGTTGGCTGGCTTGTACACTCTCGTGTCTATCTTGTTGGACAACCCCTCCACCAGAAAATTTGCTTTACTATGCAAGCCAAGAGACTATCGGGGCCGTAGCCAACATTCTTGCTCATAGAGCAATCCAATGAAAGATTGAGGGCACGGCTCATGTGTTGCTGAATGCGGGGTTCAACCGAAGCTGAGTACCTGATACGATACGTTCTACACCATGCTACCAAATCTACTTGAAGCTTGAATATTTCCAGACGTTAAGAGACGTCATCTCCACATCACCACGCCGTCTCCTCAAATCCTCAAGGCCAATGTCTTGGAACTAGAGGCACAAGTCTTCGGAGCCAAGGCCTGATCCATCTAGGAAGCCTCATTATGGGGCTATGGTGCGAGGACTCCACGACATCAGAGAGTCATAGCTAATACTCATCAATCGATTTGCCTGAGACATAAGGCCAACACCAAGAACTCGGACACAATTATCCGTGGAGAAATTACTCCCGTCCACTCCACACTGCGGGGAGAACTGGGGTAATCATACTAACTCAGCGGGTTGATGCGAGATGACCCTCATAGATAAACCAACACAGCGCTATAATGAGACATAAAGTGGAACGAATTAGCCCAACGGGTACCTGATAGTCGTGTGTGGTAGTGTTTACGGATCCTACGGGGCGCCCCATATGGAACGCCTTACCCGGCTCCATGTTGCGAGCCGTTGCGTAGCCGCTTTTCCCGGTTGGCATGCTCGATTTGGACATAGATTCTCGCGACATGTTGGGGGGAAGAAGTTTGGGAGAGGGCGAGAGATGTATATAAGAACGTCTTGTGTCGTCTAAAAATCATTCCTCATCAGTTCGACTCATCTCAACTCTCACCAGCTCTTGAATACCAGTATCTAAACCATAAACCCCCTTATCACACTACCAATCTTTCTCATCACCATCACCATGCGTTTCGCTGCCGTCATCGCCGCCCTCGCCATCACGGCCGCCGCTCTTCCTGCATCCTCTATGAAGGAGGCTGAAGCTTCTCTCGGTAAGCGACGCTCTCGTTGCATGGGTCTCCAGGCCGGGAAAACTTCTTGCTAATCATTCCATTCCAAAAAACAGACCTTCAGGCTCGGCAAGCTTGCGCCGACGTTGACAGGTACAACACCTGTACTTCAAACTGCACTCCGCTTGCCCCGTCCGGTGCTTGCATTATCAACTGCCTCATCGCCTACTGCGCTTAAGTCATTGGTGCTTGGAGCTGTGTTCAGGCGGCAAGCAAGGGGAAGACCATGGCTTCGTCGTTGGATGGGGGTAATCTTGGCCGTGCCCATATTTGTACCTAGAGTCTGTAGACTGGCCAGTCGTTCGTTACTCTCATACACAATGCAAATCTGTTAAAGTCGACTGTTTCCAACTCTCAGCTGCTCCAAGTGAGGGTCCATACCGTGATATGTCAAAAGAAAAAGTAGATTGTGTATAGATTGGTATCAAGTTGAGTACAGCCCCTTAACGCCAAAGTAGAAAACCCTCATGATCCAAGAGAACTCGCCGTACATGACGCTGAAATACCAAAATCAAGCCATTACACCATGCAATCCCGTCCCAACGTTATCGTATCATATCATGTCGTATCGTTTCCAGTCTATCAGCGCCTTCCAAAGCCACCAGCCATCTGCTTCTGCACATATTTGGCGCCCTCTTTCTTGATGATAGGTAGGGCGTAGTCCTTGAACATGCCCATGGCCTGCCTCTGCCACTCCGGCTGTCCAGGCTTTCCCGGCTTGCCGCCTCCACCTCTACCACTCCTGCGGCGGTCGTCGTAGCGATCATCGTCGTCGTATCGACTGCGCCTATCGCGACCTCCATCGTCATAGCGAGAGTCGCGACGCGGCTTGCTGTTGAACATGTCGTCGTATTTGTTATCGTAGCCGTCGTCGCGGCGTCTGCGATCGTCACGGGGCCTGTCACGGCGGTCGCGGTCATCGTAGTAGGGGTTATTGTCTTTGCGGCGGCGGTCAGACTTGTAGCCTTCGGACTTGTAGCCGTCGCGGTCACGGCGCCCATCGTCTTTGGGCCTGCGAGGAGGATAGTGCTCGTCGTATGAGTCGTAGGTATCCTCGTGCCTGGGTCGGCGGGGGCGGTCGTCGCGGCGTTCCTCGCGATGCTTGCGTCGAGGTTGGGGTGGTGGAGATTCAGAGTCAGAGTCGGACGAGTAGGACGGTTGCCTGCGATGGCGACGTGGTCGGGCTCCACGAGGGTCACGTTCTTCTGCTGTTTGATTAGCTGGAGTTGCGAGGCGCGCTGACAGGATGGCATACCTCTGGGTGGTGGTGGCATAGATTCAGGTGGTGGAGGTGGCATGCCCTCCATTCCTGGCGGTGGTGGGGGAGGCGGCGGAGGATAACCTTCGTGGCCTGGTGGAGGCGGTGGAGGATAGGCGCCATGCGGGGGCGGTGGAGGGTTGTTGGGATATGGCGGCGGCGGCGCATCGTCGACAGGCCTCTCCTTGCGAGAGCGGCGGTGATCGCCTCTTCGGCTGTCGCGGTAGTCGCGGTAGTCTCTCTTGTCGTCTTTGCCAGGCGCCCATTTTGGCTTGCCGTTCTCGTAGCTGTCAAAGCGGTACGTGCCTGGATCTGCTTCCTTGTCAGCGCTGTACCAATTCAATGCATGCTGGACATCTTACGTGATGGCGGCGGGGGCGGCTGCTCCGGTGAGGAATGTCTGTCTCTATCGCGACGGCCCATATTGCTTGCTTGTTGTAGCGGTCAAGGTGCAGGTAGTGGTGGTGGAGTGTAGGTGTCCAGGTAGCGTGGTCTAATAGTCGGCGGCGAACATCTGACACTTAAAGCGCGGCTCTCGGCTAGGACGCATCTCAGCCCAGTCTCACAAGACACCATGTCGTCATATGCCCTAATGCCTCAGCTCGTCGTGCACAAGTGCAAAATTTGCGGGGCTGCCGACGCATTCGAAGCTTCGCGACGGCGTGGCAGAGCTCAAGTGGGCTGTGTATGTAGGCTGTGATCATCGTGCATGGGCAGCACGTCTAGACGGGCCCACTTCTGCAAGCCATTGCCGTCCGCGATGCTCAACTGGCCAGGTTGTGCGCCTGAAGAGAAGGGCCGTTCCCCCGCAATGAAGCGTGGGATAAACTGAAGATCAGGGTCTTCCGGAGATTTCGACGATGGGGTATTGCTACGTGGTGTGCAAAGGGTGGTGCTGCCTTATGCTGATCTATCACACGCCCGTCAAGACGTCAGGGGACACTGCACTACCCAATCGCTACACCTGCTGACTGATCTCGTTACCTCAGTCCTGACATCCTGACCTTGCCCACGATCACGGGAAGCGGTGAACTTCGATGCCACATGCGGACTAGATCCCATGACTCAAGTCTTCGTCTACATCATACTCGGGCCTCAATCGTATCGCGACCGAATTTTGACTATTCGGCGACATCACAGTAGCTCACCAAGATCCAACGTCACCTCGTTCATCGAGCAGACTACGTCACACGAGCGGCACAATGGGAAGAGCATGTCGATCAAACTATCACATTCATCTCGGCTTGATCTGAATTTCCACCAACGTCACCGTGATTCAGAACATCTCGATAGCCTGAGGGGGCTGGGAACTAGACTGGACCTGCATAGAGTTGCAGTCTACACGACAAGCGTCTTAGCGGCCTCGCTCTTGAACGTACTACGTAGTAGACTAGATTTGATCAACCTCTGCTGCTGCTCTCTCTTGTCTCTGCTTCCTCTCTATGTGTAGGCTCAGAGCAAGCTCGACCGATATTAACTGAAGCCGTCCAGACGGTCACGATGAGCTCCTGCGCAAGAGCCCTTCTGAAGCTGCAAGAATTCAACTCCAGTGGTCCTGTCAAGATGTTCCTGGACCTCGGTAAACTACGTGTACGCCGTCTTGGTTCGGACGCGAGCCCCGGAACTCTATCTAACTAGCTTTGTTGAGATATCAGGTACCATATCGCAATAATTGCTACCTCTATTGTGAAACAAAGGTTACATGTTCACCTGCTAGCGCGACTGCAAGCCAGCAGATTTCATGTACAGATTTTGATATTGGTTGATTTCTGGCTTGTTTTTGGTTTGCCGGGCCACCAATGGTCGTGTACTGGACTTGGTCATCCCAAACGACTATATCTGCTCTCGATACATTTGAGGAGCTGGGATTCTACTGCCCGCTACCTCGCTGATAGTGATGCTGGCCACGACCTTGAGGTGGAGCGTAATACCCGCGACCACGTGAGTTCGCAGAGTCACCTCCTCGACTCTGACCAGATGTGAATTGCCCACGCCCGCGCGAAGGTGCAAAGTCTCCTCGACCCTGACCAGGTACGAAATGGCCACGTCCTCGCGAAGGTGCAAAGTCAGGCTCTCGACCCTGACCGGGTGTGAAGTAGCCACGTCCGCGCGGAGCGGCAAAGTCTCCTCGGCCTTGAACTGGTGCGAAATTCCCACGGCCACGAGGTCCGCTGTTGTAAGCACCCCTACCCCTACCACCACCCCTTCCTCGATTGCCATGAGTAGGGAGCGGCCAGAATGTTTCACGTGTCTCTCTGTCCACAGCCCAACTTCGTTCTTCCATCGTACGCAATACGATTGGCCCACCTTTCTCTTCCCTCACAAGGATCAAAGCTCGATTCGGCCGATTCTCTCGCTTCAGCACATCTCTCAGGCGTATAAGCAGAGCAGCGAGTTTCCTCAACGGTTCCTGCTGGTTCTGCTCCCATGTCTTCACCCTTACAGTTGCGACTTCCTCCTTGATCCTCGATACAACACCGGTACCTTTCTCGTAGGGAGCGGTGTAAAGCAACGATGTACGACCGAACCAGAGCTGATCTTGACATGCGACCAACCCTGATGCCAATGGGCTATAAGCCTGGGTTTTGAGCTCTAGTATCTGGGCTGTTGGTACGATATGGCCTTTTTGCAGGACCCGAATTGGCGCGTTGTAATTGAACCTTGGAGGGTTCATGTGTGAGCTTCCGCTCACCGCTGCTGCTTCGGTCTGTGTGAGATCGTCGGGAATGATGCCGTCGTCGTATGCATCTGCTTCGAAGCGACAAACGACGTTGAGAGGGCCCATTGCATATCGTATAGCCCGATAGTGACTCGTCGCATCCTCCATGTCTTCAGTTTTCTTGGTGAAGGCTCGCTCGAAGTTGAACCCGTAACTCTTCCCGTCTGAGCGTTTCCACCACCGTGACTCCCTGCGCACGATGACGAGTGTGTTGAAGACTAGATACAGATTGAGGCGGAGAGGTGCGTTGTTCTTGCCCTGAGCAAATTCCAACAACACACGGAGATTGTTGCGATCTGCGAGAACGTCGACGTTGTGGAACGTGGTGTTTGGTGACATAACCCGGAGGGCATTGAACATCGGCAGGTACGGATTTTTCGGTTGGCGAGCGTAGTTGTAATCGTTGGAATCCCAGCCCCTATCCCTTTCGACAGTGTGCGGCAGGCTTGGCGGTTGCCATTTTGCTGGCTCGCCGGGAACTAGATAGATGTGAGTCTGACAATACTCGGCATTTCAACTGGCAAACACCTGGCTGGAGGTCATGATATACTCACCAAATATCGTATTGGTACCGTCTTCCGCAGCCTGCCAGTTGTAACAACACAACAGCTCCGGTTCCTCGTCCCATGTTACTGGCTCTGGTACCGGGATGAGTGCGGTCTTTTCGATTGTCTCTACAACATGTCCTGCATCTCTTGCAATAGTGCTGGTGAAGCGCGCCATTTTTCTCCTGCGTTTCTCAAGTACGACTGGATCGATCACTTCTTCTTCAGGAATTTCCAGAATGGCATCCCCACCGTCCGAATCGGAGTCAACGCCATCTTCGGCCGCAATGGTGGGCTCTACAGCACTGTCACCCTGCAGTTGCTGCCAACTCGAACCACCCAAGGCCAGGGCAATTTTCGATTCGAAAGAAATGGCTGCCGAGTTCATGTCTGGTGGTGCAGAAGCCGCCACAGGATTCGGCTCGAGTATGCGCTGCTTTGGTGGATTGGCCTGCGAGTCTCTTTCTGGCGTATCTGACTGATAGTCTTCTCTTTCACGTTCTCTTCCACTACTGTCGCTCGGGCCACTAGTTCGCTCTCCAAATGCTTAGGAGGGACGATGAGCGGGAGGATTAAATTTAGGCGTGTACACAAACGTACCGTACATGCCGGCTGTTTCGCAGCGCCTTCCCAGCTCTTGCGCTAGAGGTTGATTACGCGCACGTTCAAAGGGGCTGTAACTTCGAATGGAGTAGAGGCGCCTTCAGACGTATTTGTGGTGAAGGGATAGGTTGTGTTGGTATGGAGAAGCTGGATAAGCCTGAACCAACTCTGTCTATCGGGTTAAATATTTTGGATTCAAGTAACAACCAACGGTAACATGGACGTGGTGGTGTGAGTAACGAGACGACAAATTGTAGGGAGCAGGGAGACGCGAAGGCCGGGGTGACGCGACTTGGAAGGCCTCGATGAGTGAAACTGGGTTAGCGCTTCGGCTAACAGCGTAGCGCGTGTGATCCTTCGATCGTCCAAAAGCACCTCCAGGGCTGGACAATTCAGAACGTCCTCAGTTTATAGATGCTCCCGATTATTGCACCTGCACTGTCATGTGTATCCACAGGGGATACTTAGTGAGTTCGAGCAACCTTTACTGTTGACCGCGAGACCCGATTAACGCATTCGTCAGAAAACCAGTAGATTGAACATAGCATCGTAGTATTTTCAGGACTCCAGCACGATGTAATCCAGTACTATAGCGCCATTCATATCAACTTACAACTTCCATCCCCGCTTCTTCGAAAGCGCCGTCTCCTGCCTGACCGCCAAATCAGCAATGATTTCCTCACTGCCGCCACCCACAACCTAGCACACGTTAGCATCAGCACACTATCCTGGACTTCACATTTCAAGGAATCAAACATACCATCATCCTCAGATCCCGACTAATCTGCTCGACAATAGCACCAGGCCCACCCTTCTGATATCCAGCTCCACCGAATATCTGCTGCGCCTCTCGGTTCGCCATCTCGAGTATACGGCCGCCGTGCACCTTGCACAAGGCGATCTGGCCCGCAATCTCCGGATCCTGCCAGCCGAGCGGAGATTGCTGGATATGGTATGCGAGTTGCTCGAGCCATGCCCAGTGGCTCTCTACATACCGGCCAATTGTAGCGAGTTTATGCGCAATGATCTGGTTGGCGATGAGAGGCTTGCCGAATGTGTGTCGCTTATGTGCGTAGTGGAAAGATTCGCTCAGACAGGTTCGCGCTTTCCTGTTGCAGCCTATGCTCATGATGAAGCGTTCCTGCAGAAGTAGAGGTACGAAATCAGTATATGTCTCACATGCACTTCGCACAGTCAGAATTTACCTTGTTGAAGTTGGTCATCACAATTCGAAAGCCTTCGTTCTCTTTGCCGACAAGGTTGGATACAGGGACGCGGACATCGTCCATCTCCACGAAGCTTGCGCCTCCACCCTTTTGCCCTGAGTTGGGGATGCGGCGGTGTGTGAGTCCGGATGAGTCAGTGGAAATGACAAGGACGGAGATGCCAGTGGCACCAGGTCCTCCCGTGCGAACGGCAGTCGTCATGTGTGTGGCCCAGGGCATACCAGTGATCCATTTCTTGTAGCCATTGACAATATAGTGTTGTCCGTCTTCGGTTTTGGTTGCGGTAGTCTGGAGGTTCGCGACGTCGGACTACACACTCTAGTTAGCTTCCCTCTCAATACAAATTGTGGATATGTTGCGGGATAGGTATACGTACACCACCACCCGGCTCAGTGATGCCTAGACAGAAACTGATCTCCCACGTAAACAGACCCGGCAGCCACTTCTTCTTCTGCTCCTCAGTTCCGTGATGTACAATCGGTGGAGCACCAATCACGCTGCCACCGCCCAGAGCAACGCCCACACCGCCCTCAATCCTACTATTCTCATCCGTCATGATCAACAGATGGAATAAGTCCAAATCGCCGACCGGTATGCCCGCAGGCCCCGGAACATTGCGTGGGCGATACGGTTCTGGCACGTCTGCGAATGCGTAACCAGTCTGCGCCCATTTGTGCCGTTCCTGGGCTGGAGCTTCACCAGCTTCCTCCCATTCGAGCATGTACGGCTTTATGTTTGTGTCGATGTATGTGCGAAGCGCATCGCGCAGTTTCTTGTGCGACTCGTTGTAGTAGGGGGAGGCGAGGGCGGAGTACCACGACGGTTCGCTCCATGGGGCGAGGTTGCCAAAGGTTTCCTTCTTCTGAGGCTGCATTACGGAGGGAAGAGGCGTATCGGCGCGCGGCTTGGGGTTCGCCATCGTGTGTGCTTGGTGGTATTACAAGACATTTCCGTTGGAGTGAGAAGCATACTTAGGTATTGGACTACTTGGTAGTGGAGTTGAGATGCCGCGGCTGGAAGACGACGATCATGCTGACTCGCGTGCTAAACTGCGGGGGTGCGTAGCCGATTCGCGCGTCCCCAACGCGTCCGCCCTCAAATGTCTTCTTGGGTTTCGCGCTCGAGCATGAAGTCTTTTCGCCAGTTAATACGGTTAAACCATACCGTGCAAAGCTCGAATGTCTTCTTCGTAATCACTCAGAGGACTCTCTGAGCAATCTAGAATGAGAAACGAGGTGAAGTCACGACAACATGATGGATGGCTTTGAAGTGAAACCTGCGAAGCTTTATTACTGTCTCGATGCTATTTACACGGACTCAAGTCTTCCGGCATAATGTCGTTCATTATTATATTCCTCCACTCGTATCAAGTCGTCAAGACGATACGTTTACCTGACGCAGTAACCACCGTCGATGAGGAGATCGGAACCCTGAGATTGTTAGTGACTTGAAGAGGTATAATCTGGACGTGTAAACTTACAGTGCAGTAGGACGAGGCGTCAGAGGCGAAGTAGACGTAGGCACCCTTGAGCTCGGTGGCCTTAGCGTCACGGCCCATGGGGATCATGGAGTGCCACAGCTTCTGGATGTCCTGGGGAACGAAGTCGGAGAGACCAGTGTCAATGTATCCGGGGGAGATGGAGTTGACACGGGCAAAGTCCCTCCACTCGTTGGCAAGAGACTTGGCAAGGTGAATGCAGCCGGCCTTGGCGACGTTGTAGGAGGCCTGCTCCTGGGGGAAGTTGGCAATGTGGCCGGACATGGAGGAGGTGATGACGAGGGAGCCGGTCTTGCGCTCGCGGAAGTGGAGACCGACGGCACGGGCGCAGTTGAAGGTACCAGTCAAGTCGGTCTCGATAACCTCCTTCCACTGCTCAACGGTAGCGTCGAGGATACCGTTGTCGGCAGTCTTTCCGGCGTTGGCGATGAAGACATCGACCTTGCCGAAGTCCTTGATGACGTCGTTGACGAGCTTCTCGCAAGCGGAGTAGTCGTTGACCTGGCACTTGTAGGCCTTGACCTTGACACCGTACTTCTCGCTCATCTCCTTTGCGTTCTTCTCGGCGCCCTCAGCGCGAGAGTTGTAGGTGATGGCGAGGTCGGCGCCGTACTCAGCGCATCCTCGGGCAGCCTCTGTGCCAATACCGGTAGGGCCGGAGGCACCAGTGACGATGACGACCTTGCCCTTGAGGCTGAAGAGGTCCTTGAGCTCGGTTGCTTGGGGAACGTTGATCATTGTGGCGGTTGTGAGGGTTTGTGAATAGAGTAGAAAGGTTTTGGGGTATATAGAAGAGAGATTGGGTTTGAGTGTGATGGAATAAGAAGACGGAGGCTGATCTGGAGGGGCACGGAGGGGTTCAAGTACTCCTCTGCGGCTGAAAAGACTTGATGGACAGCTTCACGCATTAGCGGTTAGTGAGGGGCGCTGGGTCGACAGTGACGTGTGGCTCGTCCTAACAGCTTCTGGACGTCATGCCACTGAGCATGATTCGCCAATGGCACCAAGACGTGGACAGTCTGGCTTCGCTATTCCGCTGAGATCCTAGCGACCGACGGGGGTGGGTGGGTTGCTGTGACGTTCCTGCCCCTCTGTTAGCTTGCTCTACGGGAGCTTGGGCCGCCTCTTCGTGCCCTCCAGGCGCGTGAACCCATCGCATTGCTTTTTCTCCCACGCGTTATCATCGATTTCTCCGATCCCGTGGCTGACTTTTCCAATGCTACAACCTAATAACTTTAGGTACGCTTGTCTCGTGGTCTTGCCTAGGTGCCGCCGAGCTGTTGCATGTTCCCAAAGTGGAACCCCACGATTGATACACGACATGCGCTGTCAGCGATTCATGCTTTGACAAAGACATTTGGCCGTGTCAACCCGCGCGTCTAAGCTGCTCGTGCAGTACGAAGCCGCCACGCTGCCACTCGAGCACCTTATGCCATGTTGAATGTAATGCATACCCACATGTGCTACTGTGCTCAGCCTTGGCTACTAGTAAGCAAGGCGCTGTGCATTGCTAACTGGGAGCCTGGCAGATACAGTAATCGTTACTCAGCTCTTTCTTCTTCATCGAGGCATCGGTCGTCTGCTCGATCCTGTTGGAAGACTCTGACGGACCCTGCATGTAGCTGCAGGCGAACATGGTAGCAGCTCCGAGAATCTCTGCGTACATCGCCATGTAGCAAGCGGATCCGATCGGTCGTGGAAACCTTGGAACTGCCGGCCTAGAGCGTGAGTGATGTTGCACGGCCGAAGGAAAACCGCGCATCCATGGAAGCTCCACGCATGCGGAAGCCGTCTCCCAACCATCTACGATCTCAACACGCAGAATCAATGGGGCTTTATTGTCAATATACATGACGTTGCCGGTATCCGCCGCACGCTGACTTAGTTTGCCATGCTCCATCGGTCCCGCGCATGGCTGATGGGAATTTCATTTCTCCGATGCCGCAGTCGCACGTGACACCTCGTCGGCCAAACCTCCCATTTCATCTTAATACATACCTACGATATCGTGTCTGGCTCGGCGAGCGGTGCTTGATCCAGTATCAATGTCGAAACTGCGAA